GTATGTATGTATGCATGCATGTACATCTATATAATCGATACATAATATTGTATAATATATTACAACATATAATCTGTAGCAGGTAACATAGCAGTACAAAAATACAAATATTCTGACCTGTCAGCACTGATTCCTTCAACGGAAGATAGCGCCTTGAATCTTCGTAGAGCGAAGGAAACTTTGAAAGAAGATCTCCCAGTCACCAAGACAATGTCCAATTCTTAGAAATCCTGCTGTCGAAGTGGCCACCAGCCGAGTGAGCGCAGTTTGCAGAGACCTTGGATGCGCATGCAACAGGAACAAGCAAATTCTTCGACATAAGTGGGACAGGATTCGCCTGTCGTGATTAGGTACAGGTGGTTCGTACTATCAGCAACGTAGCGGAGGGGGCTGGAATCGTCTCAGATGAAAACCCCAAAACCATCAGGTCTTTCTGCTGATCCTGCGCTCCGGGCGCTAGGAGAGCAGAAACGAGAGCCCAAATCGTTGAATGATGCTTGCCAAAGACAGTGTCCAAAGATATGCCGTAGCAATGGCTGGAGGTCTCAAAGACGAATCCCCAAATCTAAAGGCCCAGGCAGAGTATCCAAGCCCTTTCGGGGGGGGCAATTGACGGAATAACCACTTCGCTCAAGGTCTCTGCTACATGATGCCGAGAATCATGAAGGACAGTAGAACACAGAGCTCCCAGGCACACCATAAACGTGTGGGATACGTGCGTCCGCAGAGGACCACGACTTTGCCTCAGGTTTGAGGATNNTTGGGTTTTAGGTTTTGGGTTTAGGGTTTTAGGGTTTAGGGTTTTAGGGTTTAGGGTTTTAGGGTTTAGGGTTTAAGGTTTTAGGGTTTTAGGGTTTAGGGTTTCTGGCAAAGGCCCTGACTTCCATTGTGGGCTTTTGTGGCGTACATCTATGGTCACTGTTTGTGTAGGCTCTATTAATGCCGTTGTTGTAAATCCAGATTGCTGTGCTAGTGAACCTGAACGTACTGTTCGCGCTGTTCACGGTGAAAATGCTGTTGTAGGACAGACAGAAGGTCAAGTCAGGGCAGTAACATCGGGAATTCCACTGACCATTCGAAAACACATCAACAACAAAACCGAGTCGCTGTGCCTGATAATCAAACCAGTTCGGGCAAGGAAATTCATTGGAGCGATACTCGGAACATGTCAAAACTCTTAAATTTCAGCAAGAACCAGAGATTGTGAAGACCTGGTAAACCTCAAAAGAACTTGTATAAGCTCAGATTAACAAAAGGCGCAGGCCTAATCTGCTTAAAAGCAATCAACTGGAAAGCAAGCGAATCAGATGAAAAGCATGGGCACGGAAAAACCAACCACACAATCAAACATTGAGTTGCCGCAAATAGAAGAGAAGAACCAAAACGAACTCAGCCCAACACCATAACACACAACCGTCCAATTGTGTGTAATGCCATCGAGGTTGTTTCAGTTTCAAGTGAGCTTGAGCACATGTTGTTTCGAGTGTTTCCGGATCGTTTACAATTTCGAACCCATATGTGAGGTAAGGACATGGGCATCATGATTGTAATGCTACCCGTGCATTCCAATTCAATGGGCATATTTCCCTTTTGCACGCAGAGCCCATGCCAGAGGACTCAAAAGCCTCAATGGTTTAGGGTTTAGGGTGAAGGGTTTAGGGTGTTCGGAACAAACCTTTGAAAGGTGAGATTCGCACCTCGCTCACAGGAGCCATGGTATTAAGGTAGGTTCCCTTTCTGGTCACGGTCCCCCTCTAAGAAAGTATATTCCCCGTGGTCTCTTCTTGACAAGGACCATTAGAACAACCACCATGTGCCTGTTCACTAGGAATACTGTTGGGAGGCCGTGCTATGGGGAGTGAAGTTGTTTGGGATTTATGTGGGGACCCTGATGAATGTTGAGAAACACAAACAAGCACTGCCATGTAGGCCCAGTAGCCAAAACGATCTGCCGCCAAAGCAAAGCACTCGTACAAAAATGAGACACTCGCTCTGATCTCTATGAACCACTACATAATTCCAGTTTCCATTTCATGTTGCATGTTCTTTCTCATGCGATTCTACATTGTTGGGGTAAGAAGATCAAGCACAATAACCCTGTACATCCTATATTACCCACATAATCCCCACAAAGCTCTCCCGCACTTTGGCTGCCGGTTGTGCCGAGCTGCTGCAGGCCATGACATTGACTGGTAGCACACGAAGCCCGTCCGCAACACTACTCTGATCAATGCAGAACCTGAAACTCATGGGGTTCTACGGGCTATATAGGGATTATATAGGGATTGCATCGCGATATATTGGGGTTCTGTAGGGCTTTATCATCACCAGGCGGAAAACAAAGAACCACGGTGCAAATTTGGACAATCTGTCCTGCAAGGAACTCAGAAAACCAAGTAACAAACTCTCGTACTGAGCATACGAATTACTTCTCGTGGACGCCACTGAGCTTACTTGCTTCAAGCAGAAACGTGGACAGACATTTCTGCCGGGAAACTTATCCACCCAAAATGTCGGGTATCGCCCATGCTTGACCAAGAACTCCTCTGCCAAGTAATGTAGAGCTCGGAATTTTCGGTTGCCATCCTTGCCACAAGCCTATGTAACTCCTCTATGACCCCCTATTCATCTCTCCGTAACGCATGATAAGGTAAGAATCGTCGCCCCACGAGTGCGATACAAAGAAGTCAATAGTCTCGCCACGGGCTGCTGGCCGCGAAAGCCTTGCTACTTGAGGTTTTTCAGGGGTATATGTAAAGGTTGTAGGAGTTATCTAGGCCTTACATAGGATCACTGGAAAAAAACACGAAAACTAGTGTAATGGAGCAGCCGAAGAAAAAGAGCATGGAACATGAAATCGAAACCCTAGTTCCCTTTAAGGGTTATATGGGGATATGTGGACATTACCCTCATAATGGAGAATAAGATGGAAAAAATGCAAGATGAAAGGAAACACATGCAGGATTTGGGGCTCATGTCATGTCTTCCTTACATCCATTATCTTACCCCTTGTTAGCAGGGAATGCAGGAAAGGAAGAGAAAGTGAAAATTCCTGCATTGTGCAGCGACTACAAACAGGATCAAGGGATAGTGGAGCATCAAGTGGACATGAAATGGAATGTGGGTTCTAGTTCTGTAGATACATAGCTTTCAGTGCTACTATGAAACACCCCACCCACCCACCCACCCACCCACCCCAATAGGAACCCACCCACCCGTGAGACTAAGTATTCCCCATAAAAAACCTTGTATTGGGGCATGTATTCAACACCAGGGTGAGGAGGTGTTCAATATTCATATGAAGGACTACTGCGAATGTTTACCATAATTGCGACTAGCTGCCGGGCTCACCACCCTGAGCACTAAACCCTGAATAAACCCTAAACTACACCTAGGCAATTGCATTCTCCCCGGAATGACCATGGATTTGACAATTTCGAAAACAGTGAGGGAACATCAATCCCAAACATTTCTTAGACTGCGCGAATCATCATGCTGGGCCAGAAAAACCACCCTAAACCCTAAACCCCACATCCTAAATCCTACAGGTTGATAATCGACCATTGTTGATTGTGAATTCCTACTCTTTCTACTACCAGGTCGCTGGAAACCGGGCCCAGCATTCTCACTCCAAAGCTCGGCATATTGCGCCTGCCAGATTGGTGTTGGTGTTTAGGGTTTAGGGTTTATGGTTTAGGATTTAGGGTTTAGGGTTTAGTTTGCTAGTGGTTGGGTCTAGGATTTTTTTCCCGGTTTGGGATTTAGGGTTTACATTTAGTGTTCTAGGTTTTCAGGGTTTTGGGTTTCAGGTTGACATAGGAGGGGACGCTGCAGGTATTCCATGACTATCTTCACACGCCACAGATTCTCCCGCGAAACCATACGCCAACGATTCTCCGGTGAAACCATGGAATGCCGGATGAAAGTTTACACTGTTTAAACCCTAAACCCTAAACCATCATGTATTGAGCAGAGGAGGCTCCATAATCACTTGATAATCCAACTTTCCCCTTAAATGGCCACGTAGGAGTTACCCGAAAACAAGTAGAGTTATAACCCACTTGTGAGTGTTACCCCAAAAACCAAACTCTATAACCCAGCTCTAAGTAGAAAATCCCATGAACCTCCAAGCATGGATTTTTAGAGTCCAGAGTCACCTAAGGGTTTCAAAGCACAAGGCGCCTTCCATTCAATGCAGCGCAAATTCTTCCTGCCCAGCTCAAGCAGCTCTGGCCAGGGGATCACCTGGACGTTTCTCTTACCATTGTTGTTGCTACTGATATCATTATTACTATTATTACTACTACTATGATTATTAGTAGTAATAATACTATTTTTACTACTACTACTACTACTACTCCTACTACTACTACTACTATTGGTAGTAGTAGTAGTAGTAGTAGTGGTAGTAGTAGTAGTAGTAGCAGCAGCAGCAGCTTTCAGCACTACTATTAACTATCACTAGTCCTACTACTGCTACAGTTACATTTCTCTTACCATGACTATTACTATCACTATTACTGTTACAGCTACTGCTACCAGTAGTATTACTATGCTATTTCTATTACACTCTAACCCCAAACCCTAAACAATTTCTCTTACAAACGTGGCCTTAGGCGGCCCGGCCTGCTGCTTCTGATCCACTCTCACAGCATCGTGGCAGTTTTCCGGCTTCACCCAGAAGACGCTTCCGTCAACTGCCACCTGGGTGACAATGCCCTTCCTGGGTTGCTGTCAAGGAACTTGCATGAAGTTACCATGATATGCGTATATAGTGCGTATATTGTGCGTAATAGGATTTCTTTAACTATTACGGTAACTTCATTTAAGTTCCTTAACAGCCACCCAGCTTCGTGAAGTCGTATCTGGCCGATGTGTCAATCTCTGGTAGCATCGAGGGCGGCGTTGCTAGCGACTCGGCAGACATTGACACTGCAGAGTCAAAGGATCTGGAGTAAAACTGGCGCGGCTTGTTCCTCTCCGGTCCAGTTCCTTCCGGCTCCGGGTTGCCGAAAAAACTCTTGTGGAGCCACCACTGCTGGCCTCTCCTGAGGCAGAGAAAGTGCTAAAAAGTCACTGTTCTCTGTCTCTTCCTCTGTCTCTTTTTTCAGCTTTAAGCTTTCAGCTTTCAGTTGTGATGTGGGTTGCTTGTGGCAAGCACCCTAATGCGTGCTCTCTGGGTCGGAAAAAACAAGTAGAAACGAGAATGTTATCAGTACCGATCGATTCCCACACAAGCCGTAGACAGTCACAAACAAGGGCTGTGCGGGGACTTCTCAACACCTCGATGATTCTTTGTAAAACATGACGACAAAGAAAAATCATCTAAAACCCTAAACCCTAAACCCTACTCAATCCTGGTTTCAGTCTTCATGAACCCAGCTCCAACATGGGCTGCGAACTCGTGCTACTCAATAATAGTAATAATAGTAATAATAATAATGATATGGTTATATTGGGGTTAATATCGGGATAATGGAAAATAAAATGGAAACTACTATTATATTATTACGTAATCTGGAGCTGTGCTTTTTGAGTACACTGCCTTCTCGACAGCTTTCATGCAAGAAACACATCCTACTTGATACCTACCTCCCGCCTGTTGTCACAGGGTTAATTGTGTGCTTGCTTATTCGTGCTGGAATATAGTTTATGGGGGTTATATGGGGATTCTATTCCGCTATTCCCCACTGAGAACCCGTAGGGAGTAATGGACTGGACTGATTTCACAAGCAAGCCCGTCAGAGAGCTTGCAGGGTGCATTGAAAGGACGACAGGCGCCCAGCCTGCACAACTGTAGACATATGGTAGTTTCCCACAATAAGGGACCCCACTAGAAGCCATATCATGGGGATCCCCAAAGTGGTACTCCTAATTTTGGGAAACCCTAATCTAAATAAACCCAGTTTCCATTTCATGTTCCACTTTCTTTTCCATTTGATTCTCCATTATTTGGGGATTATACACCCCTAATTTTGGGAAACCCCCATATTCAACAATAAGATCCCCATATACTCTCTGTTAAAAAAGATGGCTCGAGATGGTAACCAAAGGTCTTTCTCTTTCTCGCTTTCTCTCGCTCTGAAAGCCTGCAATGCCCGAAGCGCTATAGAAAAAAGATGCCATTTCTGCAAATGTCTGCACAGTGGAACCCTAATCCCTAAGCCCTAGGAAGCCCTAAACCCTCAACCCTAAAGCCTAAACCCTAGATGCCATTGCTGCAAATGTCTGCACAAAGTAGGAGTCCAAAAGCATGGCCATGAAGGCCCCACTTTGCAGCTGACGACTGCGGCTGTGCTCGAACTTGTCGCCCAGCGCTTTGAATAAACGCTCGCGACCGACTACCAGAACCTGAGAGATTACAGCTAGGGTGTAGGGTTTGAGGTGAGACATTAAGGGTTTTGGGCT